AGGGATCTGGAGTGAAAGCAGCCCAGTCGGAAGGCTGCTCAGCCCATGAGGTCTCTGGCTTTCCAGTGCCACACAGGCACCAAAGCGGGCTTTTTAGGCCAGAGGCAGGTTTCCAAGGAGATGCTGTTACTCGGCCGCATTTTGTGTTTGCGATAGCACCAGCAGCAGAGGAAGGAGTAGGTGTTAAAAGTACCAGAATTCCAGAATTAAATGAGTTTCATGGAGACAAAAAGACGCAGCAGAGACCCATTTTGCTGTGCAGGATGCTATGAAGTTGGCTTGCTCTGCACTGTAGGTGGGAAAGGGGGAAGGGGGAGAGATGTTGTTGTTGATAAAATATGTAGATTGTTACCCAGGTGTTTTAAACCTGGTTCCACAGTCGGATGCAATCTGGCAATAGATAGATAGATAGATAGATAGATAGATAGATAGATAGATAGATAGATAGATAGATAGATAGATAGATACTACAGTCCGGTATTTGTTCTGCTCCACAGTTCCCAGGGTGGGAGCGAGCTTCCTGCATAAGACACAAAAAAAGAGTCAGTCTGGTCCAACATCACCGCTTTCTTGTGCAACGTAGATCTGCAAAGCGCTGCCATAGCAACTTCTGCGTACCGGACAGCTATTGGAGTACAAGCTCTGCATCCGCCTCTGCGACTGTGGAACCGCTTTAAGAGGTCTGTAACGTAGCTGGTCTGTGACCTGGCAGGAGGTTGCCCGTTTCCCAGCAGCAGCTGAGAAGCAAACACTCACAGACCCATTTACTTCTGCATGCCTAGCTTGTAAACAGCCACCAGCACATCACATTTGTTGCCATCGGGTGAACTTCATCTCGGCGATAATCGGGCTTGCCACAGCAGCCAACCTCCTAGGAGAGGCGCGAACGTGTGAGGACTTGGAGTTCATCAGCCAGTCAGATGTCAGATGTCACGAGGGTGTATTTGTCGTGTGCATTAACAAGTGTTACGGGCATTGGAATTGCAGTCCCGAGAGCCTCTGCTCCGGCTGTGGCAAGGAGGACATACACAAGTGCGTGCCATCGGCATCAATAGGAATTACACGGGTGCGGCAGCCTCTACCAGCACAGCACACCGCAGCGCCGACAGCAGTTGCAGACAAAGTACTTGGCGTGCGTACCGGACTCAATCCCGAGATTTGCTGCGTGCTTCCCAGAGGATACGAAGCACCCGTTGGCTGGAGGGGTGTTATATTGGCCTGAAGTGCTCTGGGCGTTGTCACAGACTTGCAAGTATTTTGGGGGCAAATCCTGTAGTTAGGTTTGTTATGAGTGCTCACCAAAACAGAAGCCTTCCCAAGCTTACATGCTACCTCTGCTCTTCAGCACGGATTTTGTTCATACTCCCGGGTACAGAAAAGCAAAGACAACTACTTCAGACAAGCCTATGCATTGTAGTATTTATCTAGATAGCAATGTTGATAAATCTAGTAGACCTACTTCCCTGAGCTCAATATACTTCTTTGCATAGCAAGGAGCCTGGCAGGCTTAATGCTCAGAGTTTGAGATGAAGAACATAAGATTTACATCCCATCCCTCGTATGATTATTACAGATGATCACAAGTAATGGAAGCTTGGGAAACAACAAGTGAAATACCAATTCTGTGAGTTCTAGCACTGACTTGAGTCCAACAGAGGTTTCTCATTAGTTTAGAAAGAGGAAGAGAAAAAAGGCATCATTGCCTGAAGGATCCAGCTATACCCAGGTTCCTCTCACTCCATCGCAAGGTTGTTTCTCTTTGTGTTGGCAGGGAGCATACAAAAGTAAAATAATTAGCTCCTATTTTTCTGTTGCGCAGTAAGGGAGGAGTATTTGCCGTTGCCTTTGACCAGCAAGAAAGTTTGCATATTGTCACAAAAACGACTTTGCCTCCAAGATAACAGAAGGAGAAGCCCAACAGGCCAGGGAACAACCCCCCCTCCCTGCCTTACCCTGTCCAAACCACCATTAGACCCAATGGAGTTGATGGTTTTTTTATGAGCATTTCCTCCAGCTGAGGATCTGCCCACCGGTGTGCTCATTCTGTACAGGGAGTAGAAGGGAGCTGCCATGTTCCTGCGCTGCACAAGTACCCCGGTCTGTTTCTATTGGTAACAGTTCATGCTACTGATTATCACAATGCTTCAGAAGTGCTAATTATCTTTTCTTGGTAATGATTAATAAATCCAAATGGAGAACAGTCCTGGAGGGTGTTTACTTTAAAATTCACTGGCTGGGTACCAAAGTAGGCACAGCACTGACTGCTGCAGTTTGAATTAGTTATTTTATCCAAAAAATGTTCCATTTTCGGAGAGTCTTGGTGAAGACAGAGTTTGGCTCGTTTATATTTCATTTTAATGACAGCAGAGTGGGAAACAATCCTTTTTAGTGAAAAGACATCATTGCCATGATGTCTTTTCAGCCAAACCAACAGAGATTTGATAGCTGCAATTCAGCCGAGGAGAGGAAGGCTTCCCAGAGCAAGCGCGCTGCAGCGATAATTGCCTCTGTCGGAATTGTATCACAGGCGTATTTGACAATTCTGCAACGAGCATGTGTAGCTGAGACGACTCTCCCTCCCCCAGCATGTCACCCATTTGGCTAAGGAGACCTGCAGTATGCCCCAAGGGGCAACTGCGGTGCCCATCAGCACCGCCCCGGAGCCTGCTCTCGCCTGCCAGGTGGCTGCTGCCCCCAGCCCCGCATCTTCTTCGGCAGCACTCATGTGGTGGAACCAACCCTGCCCAAGCCTGCCTCCAGGCAATGGTCTCCCTACTGTTACGGCATTGCTCAGTGCTGCAGGGTGTCAGCGCGTGGTCAGATGGAGAGTTCTCTTCTTAGAAATGAGAAATGGAAACATCCGTCAGTTCGGTGATGTTGGCAGGAGGCGAGGTAGCCCCTGACCCAGCAGCTGCTGAGATGGTTCCTCCCACTTCGCCTTTAATGAACTGGCTCAAGCTGCAGCAAACCAAGGCAGGTTCCCAAGTAACTGGTGCTAGAGGATCCAGCTCATTTCCCCACAGAAACACATGCCAGTCTGTAGCTAAAACCACTGATAGCGTCGCCCGTGATGATGCAACTGAGAAAGTCCCCGACCCAGTGCACAGAGGGGTGCTCAGCTTTGGCACGTACGAGTGTTTCCTACCCGCTACTTGAACACTGGTAACGCGGTTGTTGGAATTGTCTTTCCACGTAACTTCACTTTTTTTGTCCTT